GGCAATGAGATTGGCACAGGATAGAGCACGGTTTAGGGCTGTTGTACATAGGGTCGCTATGAGTCGCAAATGACTCGACAGCACATAACAACAACCACCACCACCATTTTGGGAATTTTTAGGAAATGATATGATAAAGAATTAGCCTTATTTGTGGAGATTTAGTATCTTTTCCCATGTACGAAAAGCTGACAGAGAAAAAATTTTAAACTGTGTCGTGGATACCCCTTGGTTTTCTCCAGGGATTTCTGAGCATGTGTGCTTTTGTAACTAGATTGTAACCGTTGTTCTTCAGTCCCTGTAAGGGGAAGCCAGCACACTGCAGCGTCTTTCTTCTTCCTCCATCTTTTCCAGGTTATTATTCTCACCGGGAAACGGTGAACGGCTCGTGGTACATCCAGGACTTGTGTGAGATGCTGGGAAGGTATGGCTCCTCCTTGGAGTTCACAGAGCTGCTCACGCTGGTCAACAGGAAGGTTTCTCAGCGCCGGGTGGACTTTTGCAAAGACCCAAGAGCCATTGGGAAGAAGCAGGTTCCCTGCTTTGCTTCAATGCTCACAAAGAAGCTACACTTCTTTCCAAAATCTAAATGATGGGACCTATTTTCTCTTAGGTATCAAGGTTCAAATATATTTCCCATCTTTTTCTGTTATTACTCATCACTAGTTGAAGGTTGTGGGCCAGAACATTAAAATGTTTTAAGGTTTAATTAAAGTCTAGCAGAGAATTGTTTTAAAAAGAAAAATCATTGGATATAAAGAAAGATTTATGTAGAAACTAAATCCTCAGGGAACTACCATAAATGTATAAGCATTTATAATAACTGATCCTTTTTTTAGGAAACTGCAAAATTAGCTACAAAGTATCTGATTTTAACTGTATTTTATGGTGGCTCTTTTAAAAATAAAAGTTTATTTTGTAATGTTTTTAAAAGGTTTTTAAAACTGAAGAATTAGATCAATTTTTCTTTAATGAGAAATTTGGAATTCATGTTTTATTAAATGTAACTGATTAACATATTAATGTGTGTTATTTGTAGTAGTTTTGTTTCATTTGGTCACATAAAAAAAAAACCTTTAAGAACTACTATATGGCATCCTAAGGTTGAAATATAATTTGGTGTAAGTAAAACATTTGCAAATTTTCTTTTTTTTAAAAAAATAAATTTTTTGCAACAATGAATGGAAATCCCAAGTCTCTGTAAATTGTCATTGAAATTAATAATAAATTTTAAAAATAATAAATTTTTTACATTATACTGGTGCAACCCTATGATTACTCCCCTCTCACCCCTCTCCCCCATGCTTGGGTCCTCATACCTGTTTTACTAGTTATCTTTCTATTTCTACAATAATATCATTGTATTCCATAAGTTGTTGTACATTCTTTTTTTTTTTAATTTTACTAATTTTTGTGCATGTACCATCAAATCAGATCTGACTAGTACAGGAGGAGATTGTCCCTCCTTCTCCAGCAGAACATCTGGTGAATTCAAACCGTGCATCTCTGGGATTTGGACATTCTAAAAGTCATCAGTTACAATCACAGAGGATAAAATGAATGGAATAATATATGTTAACTTACTGACATCTATTATGTGTCACTGAGGGGCTAGCCCATTAGGTGTGTAGATGCCTGCATACTGCTCTGAGCTAGATCTAGTGAGCTGGACAGGCTAGTGCCGCCTTAGGGGTCACTGATAGATGACAAAGGAAGAACTGGAGCAGGAGCATGTCTGCTCATAGGATAAGAGTGAAAGCTTATTTGTCAGGCTATCTCTCTACTCTTACTCTTCTCTGTACATAAAAAGGCCTGGAATTCAGCTTTGTGATGTCAGTTCCTTCCACCTACCATCCCTATCCTCTTCAGAGTGAGAGTTCCGCTCCATACACGGTTGTTGACTACAGTGGGTACAGCGCACTAAGGCTTAGCTATGTACTTAGGGTCAGATGAGGACTTAGGAATCCCATGGTGTGAAGGGATGTAGTTGAGATTGATCTTTGAGGAAACCTTTGGCTTTGTGGAATGACTAAATTTTATTATTTAAGGATCCCCAGTTATTTAGGGAGTTCTAAGAGGCGTTCTTTCAGCTTAAGAAATATCAAGAGATTTTCCCCTTTTTATTCTCCAACTCTGGCTCTTTGCACAGTCCATTATTAATAATTTGCTTTGTCTTCTCAAGCTGCCTTTTTAAAGCTTTCCTTCATCTCTTTTAGCATCCTTTCCCTTTGTTTGGGCTTCTTGATGCTGTAGTGCAATTTTCAGTCTCTTCTGACATCTGTTTCGGTCTTTCTCCTCTTTGTAACAACCTGGTCTCAGATATCTTTTATGTCATCCCACAATTCATCTGGTCTTCGATCTTTAATGTTCAGTGCCTCAAACCTATTCTTGAGACAGTTTTTAAATTCAGGTGGGATAGACTCAAGGCCTTGTTTTGGTTCTTGTGGACTTGTTTGAATTTTCTTCAGTTTGACCTTACATGTGAGTAACTGCTGGTCTGTTCCACAGTCAGCACCTGACCTGGTTTTCACTATTGAGCTTCGCCAACAATTCAGATATAGTCAATCAGATTCCTAATCTTGTGTATAGTTACTGTGTTTCTTAAAAAAGGTATTTATGAGCAATAACTAAATGTGCTAAGTTCAATCTCCAGACTTAGTTCTGTCACCAAGCCCTTAATTTTTGACTACCATTCACTCTACTTTGTTTCTAACTTTTACATTTCAGTGACTATTATCTTGACTACATGTTGGAGCAATTTCAGACTTCCAAAGTTGGTAGAATTCTTCCGTTTCCCCCTGTATATCTGAATGGTTGTATTAACACGCCTTCCTTGCACACATTTGGAGAGTATCCTATCACAGCACTGACAGATCTTGCAACAGTCTTTTTAACTTTGAATGCAACACCATTCCTCAACTTTTCATTCCTGGAACAGATCATATAATGATCTGATTCAAAGTGGCCAATGCCAGTCCATTTCAGCTCACTAATGCCCGGAAAGTCCATTTCAGCTCACTAATGCCTGGAAAGTCTTATCTTTGTGTATACCATGTAGTTTTTAACAACTCCTAGTTTTCCTACATTCATACTTAGTACATTCCATGGTCCACCCCCCCCCCCACTCCCCAAATAGTTACTGCAGTGGACTGGAAAAGATGATGGAGTTAGCATACAGAGACAACACTACACACCAATATCACAAAGGCAGCAAGAGTCAGGAAAGAGCAGCCAGGAGCCCCAGATGAGGCCCTTCTCCTCAATTGTTAAGTCTAGGACTTGATGGTGTTGAGGTTGATGGATGCCTCCTCCTTACTCTGGCCTCTAAACAGAAAGGTGATCCCAGTAAGGGGCAGGCGCGGGGGAGCTGTGCTGCACAGTGCTGTAACAATTGCCGTAGTAAATCTCTTCATGAGAAAACTTCTGAATCCAGGTGGCTAGCGTTTACCATATTGAGCTTCAGCCAAGTGCCTTCCAGTTAGATGTGGTAACCACTCAGTGCCTTGGAGATAGCAGCAGGCACCTTCTTAGTTACGTAGTGAGCGCTTTCAGGTCATGCTCCCCATCGGGGAGGATATCATTCTGCTGGCAGATGCTGAAATAACAGGCTAGCTTGTTGGCATTTTCCATGATGGCAAGGGCTGAGTATGTTCCCCAGTTTTGAGAACACAGCACCACTTGGCAAAGTCAGCTCCATCCTTCTTGTACTAGGCACAGCCTGGGACAGCCCATCAAACTCTTGGGTGGTAGTCTCGCCATTAGTTCCCACCCTTTTCTACCTTGATGTCCACACCACCACCCTCAGATTTGAGAACTTGGAGGAAGGGACACCCATCATCCACCGTCTGGGACAGTGTGTCAATCCAATTCACTGAGAGTCACCCTCTCTTTGGCTGACCATCCTTTCAAAGAAATAGCCCCTTCTAATAACAAAGCTTCACCATCTTTGTCTCTAAGCTGCACTTTTCTCTAAGACCTAGCTATTTGGTCTTTTGGCTATGCATGCATATTCAGTACTCTCTTCCAACACCACAACTGCAAGCCATCAATTAGTCTTCATCCTTATTGTCCAGTTCTCAGATGCTTAGCAGGTGACTGAAAAAGCTTATGGTTTGGATCAGGCATACCTTGGTCTTTATGCTTTAATGGTGCACATCATTGCTCTTCAGGACCTTAGGTCCCTGACAGCTGACTTTCCCAATCCAATATGTCTCCTCAGTGCTGGTACCAATGATGTTGCTAATGGAGCCAAGTAGTATGAAATCATTGACTTCAGTCTTTTCTCCACAGTGTTCTTTATTTTAAATCATCCAGTGTACCCTTGCTCTGTTGGGAAAACAGCTTCTTGGTCTAGGTATGGGTTTTGTATGAGCAAAATCGAGTGTCCTGGGATTCCCATTCTCAGTGTTAGCTATTGCAGATTGTGATTCACTGAGTCAAATGCCTTTGGATAGTCAATAAAGCACAAATGGACATTCTCCTAGTATTCGCTGCTTTCTGCTAAAATCCATCTGACATCAGCAGTGATATCCTGGTGCCATGGCCTCTTCTAAACCCAGTTTAAACTTCTGGCAGTTCTCTGTCAGTGTACTGTTCTAGCCATTTTTGGATCTTCAGCAATATTTTGCTTGCATATGATATTAATGAGATTGCTTAATAATTTCCACATTCTGTTGAGCACCTTTCTTGGGAATGAGAATATGGATCTCTTCCAGTCAGCTGGCCAAGCAGCAGTCTTACATATTCCTCGTACAGATTGGTGAGCATGTTCAGGCTGCATATGTTACTTGAAACATGTCAATTGGTATCACATCATTCTGTGGGGCCTAATTTTGCCAGTGTCTTCAATGCAGCTTGAAATTCTTCCCTCGTCACCATTGGCTCTTCATCATATGCTACTCAATGAAATATTTCAGTGTCAATAAATTCTTTTTTGGTACAATGACTCTATTCTCTCAATTTTTTAATGTTTCCTGGATAATTCAAGATTTTGCCCTTCTCAGTATTATAACTCAAGGCTTGAATTTGTTTTTCAGTTCTTCAGCTTGAGAAATACCAAGTGAGTTCTGTTTTATCAGGTTTCTTTTGCTAACTACACAAAGGCATTTGACCATGTGGAGCATAACTAATTACAGATAATATTTCAAAGAATGAAAATATCAAAACAACTATGCTTATGCACATAAACTAAGAAGCGGTCATTATACTAGAACAATTTTAAAGTAAAGAAAGTTTTGCATCACTGTTGCATCCTTTCACCATCTTCATTCAATCTGTAGGCTGAACAAATAATCCAAAAAGTTGAACTATATGAAGACTGAAGCAACTGGACTGGAGGAAGACTCATTGAAATCTTTGATATGTAGATGACAGCCTTGCTTGATAAAAGAGGACTAGAAGCACTTTCTGATAAAGATAATAGACTAAAGATTTCCATATGAATTACAGCTCAACAAAAGGAAAAATCCTCAAAACTGGACAAGTAACATCTTGATAAACTGAGAAAAGGTTGACGCTGACAAGAATGTCATTTTACTTGGATCCACAATCAGTGCACATGCAATCAGTAGTAAAGAAAACAAGTAATGTATTGCACAAGGCAAAGACACTAAAGACCTTTTTAGCGTCTACAAGCAAAGATGCTACTTTGAGGACTAAGGTGCATGGCCAAAGCCTGGTAGAGAACAGTGCTACCAACCCAAAAGCATGTGGTTCGAATCTACCATATGAGGATGGGTGATCTTGTGTGCAATTTACTGCCCCTAAAACCTACTGGACTCCTAAAAAAATAATGAAAGTGACATGGGGTGTTGAGAGGAGAATAGGAAAAGTGAATAGATAATGAACACCACAGCAGAACAGAAGAGGGGAAGAAAAGTCCAAAAGGAATATATGATTAGGCATTATATATGTATGACAACCATCTGGACCAAGAGATCCACTGTGGGGAGGGTTGGGAGTTGGGGAAGGGAAGGATAGAAAAGAAAATGTGCAACAGTGACTGGGAGGGAAAACCCTACTGGAGGGTTAGCTATGAGTTGGTTCCAACTCGATGGCACATAACATACATGTGGAAACATGTGAATGCCTTTGAATTGTGGTTTTGTTAGGAATATTGAATGGACTTCTAGAATAATGAACAAATCTGCCTTGGAAGAAATACAGCCAGAATGTTCCTTAGAAGCAAAGCCAGTTAGAGACTCTTCTCTCACAGACTTTTGACAGGTTATTAGAAGGAACCAGTTTTGGAGAAGAATGTCATAGTTAGTAGTTACTGTTGTTTAGTGCTGTCGAGTCAAATATGATTCATAGTGACCCTGTAAACAACAGATCGGAACCCCATCTTATCCTGTGCCATCCTCATCATCTCAGACACACTTGAGGCCATTGCTGCAGTCACTGTGTCAATCCATCTCATTCAGGGTCTTCCTCTCTTTGATGACCCTCCACTTTTCCAAGCATGATGTTCCCTTCTAAGGAATAGCCTCTCCTAGCAACATGTCCAAAGTATGAGAGAGGAAGCATCACCATCCTTGCCTCCATTATGGAGTACTCTGGGTTCACTTTTTCCAAGACAGTCCATGGGATATTCAGCACTCCCAAAACTACAACACAAAGGCATCAACAAAAAAGAAAATTCTCATCAGCAAAAGGGACTAACAGTGCCTGCAGCAACAAGATCAAACTTAGCAACAGCAAGGGCTGTGAAGACAGCCATTTCATTCTGTTGTACACATGGTCACTAGGAGTTGTAACCATCTTGCAGGCATCTAAGAACAAAAGCAACAAGTGTTGATTTTAAAAAGATCTTAGAAAAAAACCCAACACACCAACCCCCCCCCCCCAAAAGAACAACCAACCAACCCAAAACTACTGCCATTTTGACCTGGATGTGATCAGCAGGATTTAGTGAATGAAATATGTTCATCCTGATGCTCATAGGGTTGTTTCTAGGACAGATCAGTTCTTGGAGAAGGTCATCATGCTTGGAAGGGTAGAGGGTCAGCCCAGGAGAGGAAGCCCTTGGATGAGATGGACTGGCACAATGACTGTGGCACTGGGATGAGGTGTGTCAGAAACGGTGAGGCTGGCTGTGGATAGGGTAAAGTTCAGAGCCATTCACAGGATCTCTATGGGTAATAGTTGACTCAACGGCACATAACATTTAGATGCAGTAATGTTAGGCGCCATCAAGTCCACTGTGACAGCAACCCTCTAACATTATACTGAGACCCTGCTCTATCCTCTACCATTGGTTTCTCCAGTGGTCAAGCCCACTGTTGCAGTCAGTGTCACAACCTATCTCACTGAAGGTCTTCCTCTCTTTCACTAACCTTCTCTTGTTCCCAGCAAAATGTCTCTTTTCATGGACTGGCACCTGCTGACAACATGCCTGAAATATATGAGGTGAAATTTCACATCCTTGCCCCAAGGGAGAACTTAGTTGCACCTCCTCCAAGACAAAGGTGTCCTTTTGCCTACTCATGAGATTTTCAATACTTATCACCTACACTACAATTCAAAGACATTAATTCTTTGGTCTTCCTTACTCATCATTCAACTTTCTTACACATATGAATCACACAAAAAATACCACCAAATGTTTTAAATAAGAACTTCAAGTCATACTTCTGTTTTGCAAGAATTGTTTTATTAACTAAAAAAGATTTAAGCCATCAAATAGTAATGAACTATCAGACTCCAAAACTTCCAGTTTTCTAGTTGTAAAATCAAGACAAAATGGAAAAATTCAATGACTTTTAAAAATACAAGATTAATTCTTGTCATTGAGTTCCTCCAATGGCAATCGATTTTAGAGAAGACGGCGTACACGTCTCAGGGCTTCTTGAGCCTATCAGTGGGGGAAACAAAGAGAAAGTACATCATCAGAGGACCTGTGTAAACTTAATGTCACCTTCACAATCCAAATATTTACTGGCAGATACCTAATAAATTCTAATTTTAGATGGACTCATTTTAAAAAAAAATTTTTCATGATTTATTTTTCATTATATTTACATATGCATATATACACATAAGTTGCAAAGAGGGGATTAATCATTGGGTTGTACAATTTGATGGGGGGGTGAGGGAAATTGAAAGAATTTGTTCAAATTTGTATTTGAATTTTGTAAATAAACTAGTAGAAAAAATACTTTCTAGTAACAATTGGGGAAATTTCACTATGGAGTGGAAAATACTAATTATTAAGTTCTTTTCCATTTCCTTCTTTAAATGTAAGAAAATATTTCCATGATCTTGTACTTAGATGATGCATGAAGTATGGACTCATTTTTTAAACACATCTATAAGGTTATTAATTCATCCTATGTGGTCCCTTTTAATAGTTAGTTGTTTACTCCCTTCAGAATGGTCTTTCCAGCTCATAGTGTTAAAAAAAAAAAAGAAGAAGAAGAAGAAGACGCTGATCTGTCTTCCTATTTCAATCAGTTTTATAAAACACAGGGCATCATTTTCATCTTAAATGTCCAGGCTTATAAACTTGCTGGAAGAACCTTCTTGGAGTGGATCATTCAAATGGAAAGGTTATCTATTAAAAAACTTTTAAAAACCCACCCTGATATAGTCTAATACTGTACTGTATAAACTGTACAAGTAATAAGGAACCGTGTTGGTGCAAGGATTAAGCACCTGGCTGTCAATGGAAGTCGGAGGCTTGAACCCACAGAGCGGCTCCAGAAAAGAAAGATTACAGCCAACAAAAGCCTATGGGCAGGTCTCTTCTGGCACATGAGGTCACTATGAATTGGAGTAAGAGACAGTAACTTACTACTAACAGAAGAAGATGCGGTGAGCAATAGATTTTTTTACCCTGGATTTTTTGTTATAAAATTACTAAGAAAAATTTTAAGTCTAGTTATGTGTTAAAAAGTTGCTGTCTGAAAAAAAAAATGAGTAAATTGGAAGGCCGAACAGAGAAACTGACTTAGAACTAGATAGTAGTGTCCTTATCCTGAATCAGACTTTCTGATGGCGGTCAAATGTGACCAGGACATGTGACTTTAAAGAGCTGATGTTTCCTCAGTTGAAAGATGAGGAGAAGATAAAAGTACAACATTTGATTTTGTTTTTAAGAAGAAACTGGAAAATGCCTTCAGATAGTTTATAATTATTTATCACAGCATTCATCTTCCTAGAATTCTTTCTCAATTATTTAATAGACAAAAATGTGCAACTGCATTTGGCAACAGGCTTTTTTCCTTACTAACTATACTAAGACATATATTTTTATTAAAAACTTAAATTTTATAATCTCAAACTCTTAGAAAATATTTTAATAAAAATTTAAAACTAGCTAAAGTGATCTGGAATTATTATCAGGTATATCGATAGTTATAGAGGGGCTTCAGGCCTTTTGTTCAAAGGGTCACTATGAGTCATGCTCAAATCGAAGACAATCAACAACAACAACAACATGCTTATTATTTCACTGAATAAACAATACACAGAACTCTATCAAGAGCCAAGACCTAACTCATGAGCCTGAGTCATAAATTGCATTTCCCTGATATAATCATTTTGATTCCCAAACTAGACCAGGTAAAAGATATCAGAAAAGGCCTACCTTATCAAGGTCATCTTTTAACTTGTTGTATTGCTCCACATCAAAACGTTCTTGCTTTGATTTCTTATAGAAGAAGTTAAGAAACTGCCTACTACTAATAGCTTTGTAAGTATAATCCTTTAAAAAGACAGAGAAAAGAAAATGAGCAGGTTTTGCATGAACATGTCTCTGCCAGAAGATACTTATTAACATAGGAACACCAAAGCCAACCAAAACATGAGTAAAAGATTCACAGTGGCCATAAGGGAAGGCACAGCCAATACAAGGAAATCATCTTGGTATCATTTGAGATCATCTGCTCCTTCAGTGCTATTTTCAAGACCAGACAAGCTGGGATGAAAACCCACACATCGAAGAGGAGAGAGAAAAGGAAACATGGGAATGATTTAACAACATAACCATGAGGCAAAGTTGAAGTTACTGTGTGTTTTGCAATGTTATTGTTGTTGTTATGTGCCATCGAGTCACCTGCGACTCAATGTACAGCAGGTCTAAACCCTGCTCTGTCCTGTGCCAATCGCACTGCCTCAGACACATCTATCCCCATTACCCTAGTCACTGAATCAATCCACATCATGGAGGGTCTTCCTCTCCTGTGCTGTCCCTCCACCCTCCCAAGCATGACATGTTCTCCAAGGACTGTTTCCTCCTTGCAACATGTCCAAAGTATGTCAGACGAAGCTTTAGAATCCTTGCCTCCAAGGAGCAGCCTGATTTAACCCTCTCCAGGACGAATCTGTTCATTTTCTTAGTAATCCATGGTATATTCAATATTCTTCTCCAACAACAGAGCTCAAAGGCATCAATTCTCCTTCTATCCTCCCTAGTCATTGTTCAGCTCTCTGATGCGAAACCTATACTTGGACCAGGAAGCAGTGGTCAGAACAGAACAAGTAAATACTGCATGGTTCAAAATTGGGAAGGGTGTGTGCCAGGGATGTGTCCTATCTCCATACCTTTTCAACCTATATGCAAAACAGATTATCCAGGAGGCTAGGCTGTGTGAGAAGTGTGGCATCAGGATTGGTGGAAGATTCATCAACAATCTGTGTTATGCAAATTACACAATCCTGCTTGCTGAAACTGAGGAGGACCTAAAGTGCAGAAGGTCAGAGACTGCAGCCTTCAATATGGATTGAGGCTTAATATCAAGAAGACAAATATTCTCACCACTGGGCCAACTGGCAGCATCAGGATAGATGGTGAAGAGATTGAGATTGTTAACAGCTTTAGTTTGCTTGGCTCCACAGTCAACACTCTTGACACCAGCAGCCAGGAAATTAAAAGACGTATTGTGATGGGAAAGTCTGCTGTTAGGTACCTCTCCAAAGTACTGAAGAGCAATGGTGCCACTCTGGAGACTAAGGCATGCCTGATACATGCCATGGTCTTTGCAATCACTTGCTATGTATCAGAGAGCTAGACAATGGCTTTATTTTGCATTATAAATGAAATTTAATTTATAAACAGGGCACAGAGAACATAAATTTGACACACAGAGGATTTTTTGAGTTGTACAAATTATTTCCCTACAGAGGCTATGTGTAGTTGTTGTGTACTGCACACAAGCCTCCAACTGGCCTCATTGAGAACCGGTAAAATGTTATCACAGTTACTTTACAGAACAGCATAACTGCCAGACAGATCTTCCAAGGCTGTACCCCTTTAGAGATGCAATCTGTCACATTTTTTTCACCATAGAGGGCTGGAAGGACTAAACAACTGACCTTTGGGTTGGTGGTCAAGCACTTTAACCACTGCACCAGCAGAGCTCCTTTTGCAAACACCCAGATAGCAAGAACTGATTATGTTAGGGCATATTGATAATGACTTCAGTAAGGCATTCTTTGCAAAGGATGTTTTAACATACTATTTTCCTAACAAATCACTCACCTGTCGAGTGACTAGAAAGTATGCAAAAAAGGCCATGGAATTTGCAACTGTGATGAAGTAAGTAACTGGTTCCATGATGTCCCAGGAGTACACCCACCATGTGAACCAAGCCAGTGCCCCGCCCTGCACGGACAGCAGCGCTAAGCCAGTCCATAGGAGTCTGTTGATTCTGGCTTCAGAGCGACCTTCAATTCTAGTTTTCAGCTGAGGGATAAAATACAAATAACAGTCCATTCAGCTTATAGTGCACCAACTTAACAACAATAAACACAAGAGGAGTGATTACATATCTATACATTACTATTCGTTAAAATTACATGCCCACTTTCTTTAAATTCCACTTCTAGAACTATGCAGGTGGCTTAATCACAAGTGATTCTGTTCAGAGCATTCTAAATGGCAAAAGACTAAAAAGCAGTTCATGTCCATGAAAACATATATCCAACTATAATGAAGAGGATCTATACGCACCAATATGGAAAAATTTCTAGGATACATTTAGTGCTTGACTACTAGCTGAAAGATTGTTGTTGTTAGGTGCCATTGAGTCAAATATGACTCATAGTGACCCTGTGAACAAAAGGTCTGAACCTATTCCTGTTCTGTGCCATCCTCACATTTCCTGACACACAAGAGCCTATTGCAGCCATCACGGAGTCAATTCACCTGGTTGAGTGTCTTTATCTCCTTCGCTGACCCTCCACCCTTCCCAACATATTCCTTCCCAAGGAATAGCACTTCCTAGTAACATGTCCAAAGTATGTGAGGCAAAGCCTCATCATTCTTGCCTCCAAAGAGTACACTGGCTGCATTCTCTCCAAGACATATCTTTTCATTTTCTTTGCTGTCCACGGGATGTTCAGTGCTGTTCTCCAACATCACAGCTCAAAGGCATCAATTCTTTTTCTGTCATCCTTATTCACTGTACAGGTCTTGGATGCAAAGCTAGTAATTGGAAAGACCATTGGCCTGAATCAGACACACCTTAGTCCTCAAACTGACATCACTACTCCTCAATAATTTGGAAAGGTCCTTAACTACAGATGTTCCCAGAGCAGTGTAGCTCCTTATTTCCTGACTGCTGGTACCAAGGGTGTAAATTACAGATCAAAGCAAGATGAAGCTGCTGACATTTTCAATATCCTCTCCATCCATCATGACACTGCCTAATGGTCCATGGTAAGAATCTCTGTTTTCTTGATACTGAGATACAATCCATACTGAAGACAGCATTCCTTGATCTTCTACAACAAGTGCTTCAAGTCCTCCTCACTTTCAGCAAGTAAGGTTGTATCATCTGCATAACACGGATTATTGATGAGTCTTCCTACAATCCTGATGCCACATTCGTCTTCATAGAGTCCTGCTTCTCAGTAATTTGCTCTGCATAAAACAGGTATGGAGATAGAATATAACCCTGACGTGCTCCCTTCTCAATTCCAAATCATGCAGTGTTCCCCTTCTCTGTTTGAAGAACACCCTCCTGGTCCAGGTATAGGTTCCTCATGAGCACCATCAAGTGCTCTGGGATTCCCGTTCTTCTCAATGTCAGCCACGACTTGTCATGATCCACAGAGTCAAATGCCTTTGCGTAGTCAATAAAGTACAAATACACATTCTTCAAGTATTCCTTACTTTCAGCCATGATCCATCTGACATCAGCAATGATATCCCTGGTGCCCTAGCCTCTTCTAAATCCCCCTTGAACTTCTAGCAATTCCTTATCTATGTACTATTCCAGCCATTTTTAAATAATCTTCAGCTGTATTTTGCTTGCATGTGATATCAATGATATTGTTCAATAATTTCCAAATTATCAACTGAATAATTTCCCCGAGAGATTATTGTTTAAAATAAAAGATGAAAACACAGTATATATTGTCTTATTTGAAAAAGAGGACAATGTGTATGTGTGTGTGTATATACATATACATGCTTCTTTTAGTGGAACAAGCATGTCCTTTTTGCTGAATATTCTCTTCAACTAGACAACAGTTTAATATCTTTAAAGGTAATCCTTATTACAAAGTTCCTACATCTCTGCAAACTGTATTCAGATACAAAGATACACACAGCTCTACCTAGTATCTTCAAATCACAAATTGGATCAAAGGTTTAAAGGACGTCATTTCTTGTCTTAAACTAAAATAGACTGAAAACACAAAATCACAGAGGTGTGTTTTTTCCCCAACACGGACTAGCTTCATTGATGTTAACATGAAAAAAAAATGAACTACAACTCTGTTAAGCAAAGCTAGAGCCCTGGAGTTGGAATTGACCCACAGCTGATCCTCAGTGGGTTTTCAGAAGCAGTTAATCGCACAGGAGGAGACTGTTCATCCTCCCACAGAATAGCTGGTGGCCTCGAACTTCAGGACTGCAGTGCAGCGTCTTGCCACTAGGCCACCAAAGTTTGCTGGATCATTAATAGATAGCAATACCAAAGCCCTGGATTACTATCCATAAAAAGAAATGGAGGCAGTGCCCCACTTAGTGTAGCCAAACGCATAATTTTCCAGGTTGAAAGCAAAATATTCACAAATATAATCTTTATCTAGTTCACAAGTCTGCAGAGACACAGGTTTCGAGACCCTGCAGACATCCTGGAGAGAAAGTGTAGTGCAGAGTTTCAGATGACAACCCTGAGGTCAGGACAGCCGACTAGTCTACGGCTTATCAGCTATGTTCATCTGCTGTCTCAATTTCATCACCTGAAGAAGGAGGAAGAAAACAGCATGAAACTCACAGGCCTGCGGTGAAGATGTAGAAAATCAGCAATAAAACACGGGGGGAAATGCTGACATGAAACGCATTCAATAAACATTATTACTTTTATATAAAGTCTGAGTGGCCCAAGAGGTTTGAGATAGTCTGCTAACTTAAAGGTCGATGGTTTGAACCAAGCCGGCACATCTATGGGGACTGTGAAGGGATTGTGACGCTTCCTAACCTGTTCAAAGGGCTGCAGCTCTTTCTTCAGGTGGTCAATTTTCTCCAGTAAATAGTTCTCTTTCTTTTTCTGATATTCATCAAAATGTATGGCTGTAAACAGTCTGTGAACCAAAGACATCATGGTTTCCATCTCAGTAGCATGCTCACTACTCAGATTTTCTGAGAAAAGACACAAGGGAAACAAGGGAGTCATCACATTTCCCCTCCATTTCGGACCCCATCCTGGGCGGTGGGCACCACAGCACCGTGACTGGTCACCTGTGGGCTCACTCGGAGGGGGGCATTCTCTCCTGTCTCAGATGATTCATTAGTTTCTCTCCAAGTAAAGACAATTCGGAATGAGAAATCACCTGATAGTATGTTCACAGTTCATTGTGGTTTTTTGTTTTGTTTTAAATGGAATTTTTTCTGTTTCCTGAAAACAAAAACAAAAAAACCACACACAAATCCTATATACATAAAAGGTAGTATCCATCTACTGAAATCCAAGGGAATGTCTCACCTTAGATCTTATCACATTAGCTTATATGAGTCATTTTAATACCTGCACCCCTCCCCTCATCCATAGTTATCTTTCAAAACACTATTTTGGGATCGACAAAGTAGAAAGCTGATGTACAAGCATATAAACAAAGTTATAATATACATTTGAAAATCAATTGAAGTGCACATTTTCTACATAAGCAGAAGCATAGTAAACTCTGTGTGTGTGTGTGAGAGAGAGAGAGAGAGAGAGAGAGAGTGTTAGTTGTGTGTCAATGAGCTGGAACCAATTCATAACTGACCCTCTAATGGGTTTTCAGAGGTCCTAAATCACATTAGAGGAGACTGCCCATTTTTTTCCTGTGAAGCAGATGACAGCTTTGAACCACCTGCCTCTGGGATGGCATTGAAGGTTCTTATTATTCTTGATGAATAAACCAACAGTTATTCACCTTCTATTTGAAAAGAAAGCCAGTTTCAGGAGGTTTGGATATAGAATTATTTTTTAATATGGCTTTATCTCATATTCTTCCTCTGTAGACCTAAAATATGCATAAAATGAGACTATAATGGTATCTTTCTGAGAGTTCTAACTGTTGACTATGACTATAAGAGACCTTGTTGCCTAGCAGCCCAGCACTCAGTGCACACACCTCCAGGGCTCCTTTATGTTCCTATTTGTCAATTTCTTTTTTTTTTTTATTTGTCACATTCGACCTATCACTGCACTGATTTTTTTTTTTAATTTTTTTTTTTATTTTTTTTTCAATTTCTGCCAGCCCTGCTTCTTTGGAGGTAAGTATTGCTCTGGTGCTCAAACACTCCTGGGTATGTCTAGGGGAAGCCCCTTCGTGCTGGCTTGCGTGGCCTTGAATTAAGTGCAGCCAGAGTGCTCTTGACAGGCAAGAAGTGCAAAGCTTTGTCTCACATACTCTGAGCATATTATTAGGAGAGGCTGTCCCTTGGAAAGGGACATCATGCTTGGAAAGGTGGAGGGTCAACAAAAGAGAGGAAGACCCTCAGCGAGATGGACTGACAGTGGCTGCTGCAGGGGGATGATAAGGATGTCAGGATAGAAAGGACCGACCAGGATAGGACAGGGTTCAACTTTATTGTTCATAAGGTCACTGTGAGTCAAACTCACTTGATAGCACCTAACAATAAAAACAGCAAGAAATACATCCTTACTTTCTTACTTCCTCAATATATCAACTATTGATATCTTTCCGTTCACATTTTGGTTCAAAATTTTTCAACAACCTTCCAACATTTACCAGTTAGCATTGGATATTCTTACTCTAAGCGAGAATTCTTCCATCTTTAGTCTTCTGTTTTTGCTATCATCAATTTGTATATGGCATGAACTCATTAATTCCTTCTCCTTAACCCCAAAAGTCTATTATAATTACAGCTTATCTGGAGCAGAAGCAGTTGGGTCAGTACTGGTAGAAACGACTTAACTAGAAACAGCTTAGTGTGAACTAGCCTGAGAGTTAAAACTCAGGTTGCACACTCAGTTTTAACAGCATGAGCTCCAATAGGTTCTGACAGTGGAGATGGAAGAAAAACCCTTTGGGCTTACTGCATGTGAAAGGGTATGTAAACATAATTAAATATATCCAGAGTGTTTTGTTCATATTAAGGACTTGCCTGAAAGGGAAATAACTTTACCAGACCCTTATGGAGTAAGAGAGAAAAAAGAATTAGCCTCCATTTCTCTCTAGGACTCCGTTCTCACATGATGGGAAATGGGGTTGGGGAAAAGGGTAAGAACTTGCTGAGGATTACAGATTAGGGACCCTGTCCCAATTTCATAATAAAATTACAGCTATTCCTCCTAACGAATACCTACTACTACAGCAACTGAGCTCTAGTAAAATAACAATAGAATACAACAAAAAAAACGCTGTAAGACATGAGATTTTTGTTAAAAAGTTTCTAGGAAGACTCAAAATCAACAGGGAAGAGCAAAAGATGGACATTAGAGGAAACAGAAGACTCTGGTAATGAAACACTAAACGTACTCTAGCACACACCTAAGGCGCATAAAGCAGCACAGTGTTATTTACTTCAATTCCTATTGTCTGATAGATGTATCTAGTTTTTAACAGAAAGCTATAGGACATACTAAATGGCAACTCCCTACAAAGAGACAAAGCCAGCGTCAGAACCAGCTTCAGACATGGCAGAGATTCTGAAATCATCAGATCGGAAACTTAAAGATGCTAATGGATAGCACAGAAGACGTGAGCAACATGAAAGGGCAGATGGTTAATAAGAACAAACAAACAAGAAAAAGCTAGAAATAAAGAATACTTGAACAGAAATTAAGGAGGTCTTTGATGAACTCATTAGCAGACAGAACACAGCTGAATAAAGAGCCACTGGCCTGAAGATATGTCAGAGAGGAAAAGTCATACAGGGGAAGAAATAGAATTAAAAACTGAAAAATAGAATGCAGAACAGAATCTCCATGTACTCTTGGATAATTACAGAAGTGTAGCATATTCATAATGGAGTTACTGGAAGATCAAAGGAAGTAGGAATAGAAGAAATAAAAAGTGAAGGAGAATATCAAACTGATATCAACATGATAAGTTTTGAATAAAAAATATTTCTTGAAACAAAGAATTAAGAGCTCACAACAACATAATTGAATGCAAACCTTTCTTAACTAAGTAGTATTGGGAAGTAAGTCTTCAAGATGCAAATGTGAAGTTTTAAAAGTCCAAGAGGAAATGAAAGGAAAACATCTGCTAGGCAACTCCTGCTAATCACTTAAATGCTTCATATTAAAGCATAAACAATGATTCTTCAAAACTTTCTTGGTCATTTAGTCATATAACAAGTTTCTTACAATATAGCTATGCTTCTCAAAAAATGGAAATGCTGAGAGTTGAACAGCTGTAGTTCTTACCTTGCTTGTGGCAGTGTACATCATATGTTATTTTATTGATGACAAGTTTAAAATCATTCATTAGTAGAATTCCCATTAAAGTTGAAGCTGAAATCTTGCTGCCATCTGAAAGAGAAATTACAACATAAAAATCTAATTTTGTTTGTTGTTGTTGAAACACAATAAAAAATAATTTTCTAATACATAAAACGAAATTAATGCACAACACTCAAACTCATTGCTTTTTAATTGGAACCAATTCACAGTTGACCTTCTAGAAAAAAGAATACTTGAACAGAAATTAAGTGAAAATTGCATGAGAGGAAAATGCCCTACTGGTGGATCTGGACTGCCTTTGGGTTCATAGCTCAACTCCTACTGACTAGAACACACCAGAGTAATAGACAATTACCTTTTGGAAGACATATTAACACTCAAGTATCATTTCTCTTGAAGGGCACATCCTTCACTGCTGTTCTACATGCCACAACAATGGAGCAAACAGAGAAGTTCTCTTCCTGTCTTTGCCAGATTGACTGACAGCTCAATACCCATGATCAGACTTTCTATCTGCAAATGGTCATGAAAGACTCATGGGAATATAAAAAATCTTCATAGTAAGGTCTGGATAGGGAGGTGCCACATAAAAAAAGCCAAGACAGAAAGACCTGGTGTGAGAACAATGTATATGAACTTTGTAATGTCAGAAAACCACTATAAAATAAAAGTTTTCTTTAAAAAAATTTTTTTTAAAAAAAGCCAAGACAAAGCAGAGAAAGAATGCTGAACAGAAGATTTCAAAGGGCAGCTCAAGAACATAAGACAAAGTGTTGTTGTTGTTGTTATGTGCCGTCGAGTCGCCTGCGACTCATAGCGACCCTATGTACAACAGCCCTAAACTCCGCTCTGTCCTGTGCCAATTGCACTGTCTCTGATACTCCCATCCCAATTATCCCAGTCACTGAATCAATCCACCTCATAGAGGGCCTTCCTCTCCTGCGCCGTCCCTCTACCCTCCCAAGCATGATGTCCCTCTCCAAGGACCGGTCTCTCCTCACTACATGTCCAAAGTAAGTTAGACGGAGCCTCAGAATCCTTGCCTCCAAGGAGCCACCCGGTTTAACCCTCTCCAGGACAAATCTATTTGTTTTCCTAGCAGTCCATGGTATTCTCAGTACTCTTCTCCAGCACCACAGCTCAAAGGCATCAGTTCTCCTTCTATCCTCCTTGGTCATTGTCCAACTCTCTGATGCATAACAGGTGATTGCGAAGACTATGGCCTGTATCAGACGCACCTTAGTCTCCAGAGAGACACCACTGCTCTTCAGCACTTTGGAGAGGTCCCTAACAGCAGACTTTCCCATGGCAATGCGCCTTTTAATTTCCTGGCTGCTGGTGCCAAGACTGTTGACTATGGAGCCAAGCAGACTAAAATTGTGTACAATCTCAATCTCTTCACCATCCATCCTGATGCTGCGATTGGTCCAGTGGTGAGAATCTTTGTCTTCTTGACATTGAGCCTCAATCCATATTGCAGGCTGCAGTCCTTGACACTCTGCAGCAGGTGCTTCAGGTCCTCCTCAGTTTCAGCAAGCAGGGTTGTGTCATCCGCATAACGCAGATTGTTGATAAATCGTCCACCAATCCTGACCCCACATTTCTCCTCATAGAGCACAGCCTCCCGGATAACCTGTTCTGCATATAGGTTGAAGAGGTATGGAGATAGGATGCATCCCTGGCGTACGCCCTTCCCAATTTTGAACCATGCAGTGTTCCCTTGCTCTGTTCTGACGACTGCCTCCTGGTCCAAGTATAAGTTTCGCATTAGAACGATCAAGTGTTCTGGGATTCCCATTCTTCTCAGAGTCAGCCACAGTGTGTTATGATCTACACAGTCAAATGCCTTTGCATAGTCAATGAAGCACAGATAGACATTCCTCTGGTATTCCCTGCTTTCAGCCAAGATCCATCTAACATCAGCTACAATATCTCTAGTGCCACGACCCCTTCTGAAACCAGCCTGGACTTCTGGTAGTTCTCTGTTGATGTGCTGTTCCAGTCGTTTTTGGATAATTTTCAGTAAAATCTTGCTTGCGTGTGAAATCAGTGAAATTGTTCTGTAGTTTCCACATTCGGTTGGGTCGCCTTTCTTTGGGATAGGAACAAATATCGATCTCTTCCAGTCAGTTGGCCAAGTGGTCGTTCTCCAGATTTCTTGGCACAACTTGGTGAGCACGTCCAGGGCAGCATCTGTTAACTGAAATATATCAATTGGTATACCATCTATTCCTGGAGCCTTATTTTTGGCCATGTCCTTCAAAGCAGCCTGAACTTCTTCTTTCATCACCATAGGCTCTTGCTCATATGTTGTTTCATGAAATTCTTCTGTGTCTTCCAATTCCTTTCGATACAGTGACTCAGTATATTCCTTCCATCTTTTTTTAATACTTCCGGGATCATTTAACGTTCTGCCAAAAGCATCCTTCATTATAGCAACTCGAGATTTGAATTTGTTCTTCAGTTCCAAAGTATTATAACAAAATGTGGCAAGAGCTGGAGGTAGGAAATCAAATAAGAGTAACATGGTCAGTATTTCTCAAATTGAAAGAACTGAAGAAAAAAATTCAAGCCTCAAGTTGCAATATTTAAGGATTCTATGAAGGGTACGTGCCACAGATGTGTCCTATACCTTTTCAATCTATATGCAGAACAGATTATCTGGGAGGCTGGGCTCAATGAGAAGTGCGGCATAAGGATTAGAGAAAGACCCATCAACAATCTGCATTATGCACATAACTTTGCTTGGAGGACCTGAAGTGCTTGCTGCAGAAAGTCAAGGACTGCAGCCTTCAATACAGATTGAAGCTCAACCTCAACAAACAAAGATTCTCACAACTGGGCTAACTGGCAGCATCAGGATAGATGGTGAAGAAATCGAGATTGTTAACAACTTCAGTTTGCTTGGCTTCACAATCAACACTCTTGGTACCAAGCAGCCAGGAAATTAAAAGACAAATTGTATTGGAAAAGTCTGCTGTCAAAGACCTCTCCACAGTACTGAAGAGCAAGGATGTCAGTATGGAGACTAAAGTGCGCCTGATACATGCCATGGTCTTTGTGATCACTTGCTATGCATCAGAGAGCTGGAAAATGATGAGGTTTGATACAAGGAGAACTGCTGCCTTTGAACTGTGATGGTGGAGAAAGTATTGAATATACCACGGACTGCTAGGAGAACAAACAGGTTTATCCTAAAGAGGGTGAGACCAAGCTGCTCTTTGGAGGCAAGGATTCTGAAGCTTCATCTGACATACTTAAAACATGTTGCAAGGTGAGATCAGTCCTCAGAGAGGGACGTCATGCTTGGGAGGATGAAGGGACAGCACAGGAGACGAAGACCCTTGATGAGATGGATTGATTCAGTGATTGAAGTAATGAGGGTAGGTGTGCCAAAGACAATAAGATTGGCACAGGTTAGAACAAGGTTTAGGCTGTTGTACATAGGGTTGCTACAGTCAGAGGGGACTCAATGGCACATAACAACAATGAGAAAAATATTGATGATGGAATATTTGATGATGGAAGCACTAAAAAAAGGCAAAGAGATTACACTGCGTATATTGAAAAAGAACTGGTTGACACTGAACCATTTCAAGAAGTAGCGTATGATCAAAAACCAATGGTAATGAAGGAAGAAATGCAAGCTGCACTGAAGACACTGACTAAAAATAAGACCCAGAAATTGTAAAATGGTGCAACCATTCTAGAAGGCAGTTTGGCACTTCCTCAAAAAGCTGAACATAGAAATTCCACATGACCCAGCTATTCCACTACTAGGAATACACCCTGAGAAAACAAGAACTGATGCACAAACTGAGATCTGTACACCAATGTTCATAGCAGCATTAATCACTATCACAAGAACTTAGAAACAGCCTAAATGTCCAAACACAAACAAATGTATGGGAAATAATGGTACATCCACACTATGGAATACTATGCAGCATGCAGGAGCAGGGATTTTGTAAATTACTACCTAACTTGGGAGGGACTGGAGAGCATTATGCTGAGTGAACTAACTCAGTCCCACAAGGATAAATATTGTATAAAGCCATTATTGTAGAATGAGTATAAGGATTCAAGAGGGGTGGGAGAGGTTGGAAGCAGAGGTATGAGGATGTGCGGGGGTGGAGGGATTAATCATGGAGTTGTACAATTTGATGGGTGGGGGGTGAGGGAAATTGAAAGAATTTGTTCTTGAAATCATTGCATTCAAATTTTGTAAATAAATGAGTAGAAAATAATTTTTTTAAAAATAAGGCCCAAACAATTGATGGAATAACAACACATGCAGCCCTAGACATGCTCATCAGTCTGTGCCAACAAATCTGAAAGACAGCCACCTGGTTAACTGATTGGAAGGGATTAATATTTGTTCCCATTCCCCCAAAAAGGTGACGCAATTGAATGTGGATATAATCATACAATATCATTTCTATTATATGCAAGTAAAATCTTTTTCAAGAATAATAAAAAATGGCTGGAACAATACATAGACTAGGAACTGCCAGAAATTAATGCTGGCTTCAGAAGAGGCCATGGCTTCTGAAGGACATTATTGCTGATATCAGATGTATGTGTGCTGAAAGCAGAATATTCAAGATTTATGTGTACTTGTGCTTTACTGACTATGCAATGGCATTTGACTGTATGGATCATAATAAAATTACAGATAACCTTTAGCGGAATGGAAATCCTGGAACACTTCATTATGCTCAAGCAAAACCTATACCTAGACCAAGGAGGTGCTATCCAAGCAGCACCAGAAAACACGGAATGGGTTAAAACCATAAAAGGTGTGAATCAGGGTTGTGTACCTATGCAATCTGCATGTTGAGCAAATAACTCGAGAAACTGGACTATGTGTAGAAGAATGTGGCATCAGGATTTGAAGAAAACATCAATAACCTAAGCTATGCAGATGATACACAACTGCTTAGTCAAAGTGAAGGGGACTTGAAACACTTGCTGCAGAAAATCAGAGGCTACACCTTTCAATATGGATTAAATCTCGATATCAAGAAAACAAAAATCCTTACCACTGGATCAATAGGCAATATCATGCT